ATAAATAATAATAATAATAATAAAAAAATTATATATATAGCCCCACCCTACTCCATGACTGAGCCTCTGGACTAGGAGAAGGAGAAGCTTCAGTTTGGCTTTGTGACTTTGTTCATTCTAAAATTAAACTTTTTGTTGTTGTTCTTAGATACGAAATAAATTAGTTGTGTGGATTTCTCAGTTTGGAACTCTACTTATTCCGATGCCCTGCTTGAGGAGCAAAACAACCCTGGAAACTAGACTGATACTCTGGCACCTATTCAGCATTTACTTCACCTAAAACAGTTATTAAATCAACAGAGATAATTAAGGGGTAAAGTAATGATATGTTACTTTTAAAAATCTAATAAAAATGATTGTCGGTACCGTCCCAAGATTAAAATTATACTGGCACAGATTCCACAAGAAGATAATAGATGCAAGTCAAAAAGATATTATATAGGATGCATAATAGATGGCAGATAATTATATAGGATTAGATATGGGCTCGAAGTTTGAGTCGAGCAAGAGCTCAACTCGAACATCGGCAGTTCATGTGTTCACCATACACACGAACTGTGAGGGCTTTGCTGGCTATTCGCCCGCCGAGCTGCAAACAAGGCACTACGCAGTACACAAACCCAATACCCTTTTTATGCCCATTAACTTGCATATAAGGCTTCAAAATGGAAACAACTGATTATCAGAGTTCTAGCCCCATAGACTTGCATTGAGTTCGAATTCCGAACTTTTTCTATGTTCTAAAGTTCGAATTCGAACCAAACTCAGGTGTCTTCGGCCCTTCATTATATAGGATGCATAATAGATGGCAGATAATTGCTAGCAACACAACTGGGAGAAGGTTTCCTTAGTGCAGTAGAAATGGCAGCCAGTGCCAGTGGGAGCCACTGAAAAAGACATCATGGGCACACATTGCGGGGGGTTTCCAACCCTAAAAAAAACATCATGGGCAGATATGCCAGGGTTGCGGACTCATGAAAAAGGCATCATGGGCACACATGCTGGGGTTGCCAACTCATGAAAAAGGCATCATGGGCACACATGCTGGGGTTGTCGACCCTGATCTATTATATGCCTACAGTGCTTATACAAAAAAGAAACATTATGCAAAAAGTATCCTTTTGTACATAAAATGATATAACTCGCAGCGCATAGCAAGCAAAACATACAAAGTATCCTCGAAAGCAACATCACTGAAACCTCACACAAATATTCAACTTATATAATCAATGCAGTCCGTGTATATCTTCTTAGAAATTATCTTTCTAAATTACTACTGTGTATGATCCACTTCAATAAATGTACGGTCCCCCATTCTGCGCTCTTACAAGCAACACTCCAAAAAGACATGACCTTCCTGGTATAAAAAGATCTGCAGCCCTTTCTCATAACTTTCTGCTTCACATGATCCTCCTACGTTCCATATACTCTTCAATATATGCTCCCAGGCAATGCAACAAATAAAAAAGGCTAAAATAGTGTCATCTAAAACTTTTATTGATATTTAAACAAAGGAGGCGCTCACTAGTAAAAGTGCTGCAAACTGCACCAGAATTGTTTCACCATTTCATTACCCCTCCATGCTTCTGTGTAAAACTTACCATTACAGTTTGTAACTCTTATGGGCTCTAAGTTCTGGGCCATTTCTACACCCACTCTTGACCTATGAGAAAAATAGTTTAATGTTAAGTTACTTAATTCGTAGCCAGGAAGCGATATTAAAAACATTGATTTTAGGTTTTAGAAGAATGCTAGAGATCTGCTGCACTGAACATTTTTATTTAAAGGTAAGGTCCACATTTAAAAAAAAAATTAATTGCTGCACACATATTTATAAAAGAAAAAATGTGCATTTATTCTTTTTTTTTTTTGCATTGGAGACTGTAAATTATTGCAGCTGTGATCAATGGATGGTGCGGTTCGGTGCAATGCTCTGGTTCCTTCAGATTTTCCACCCCATTCATGTCCTTACCTCATTAACATGGACAGGAGTGTCAATGGACTACAAGTGCAGTGACGTCACTGGATCTGGGAATGGATGATGGGGCTGTGTGGGTGATAGGAGGTGAACCTAGACTTTAAAGTGTCTAGCAATGTATAGCCAAAAGTTTTTTTTATTTTTTTACATTTTGGATAGAGTGAATCTACCCAGTGGAAAAGAAATGAATTTTAGATACACTTTAACCACTTAATTTATAAAATGTCCGCCCATTGAATAGGGGCGCTAGTGCCATACAAATGGCATGGGCGGCAGAACCTTTATGATTGAGGCACAAAGTGTAAGTCAAGCCAAAAACAGTTTTTTACCAAATTTTGGATAGATGGTATAGACTCCCAGTGACCCTGCATAGGATCTTTCCGCAAGCTTCTCCTATGTGTTGGAGATGTAATCAAGCCATGGGTACGGTGCTACATTTTTTTGGGGACTCCCCAATGCTCCGAACATTTTGGACGGGGCTTCGTCATTTGTCCAAGGAGTTTGCTGGGCGTTCCCTTTTGATACAATTGATTAATTCAGCAAGACCGTGTGCCACTCTGTTGGAAGCAGACCTCGCCTCCTACAAATCTATCGTTGGGTCAGAATAGGGAGGTTTTCTTACTTTAGATCCTGCGACAGGGAGTGGGAGGGGTCCAGCAGGGGTTTATGTTTTTTTTTTCTTTTTCTTTCTTTCTGTTCGATATTTTTTATTCCTGAATTGATATGTTAAAAAATAATGCCATGAATATATAGATTAGGTGATTAGTTCGAACGTGTTATATTTGGGGGCGATCTTAAGTGGCATTTTGAAGGTTGCTGCACACTGACTATGGTATAATATGCTCTTAGTAATTTGCTGTTTTTGTTATTTTCAGTGTTTTTGATGTGGCGTTTATAAATAAATACATTTAAAAAATATTTTTTTGTATAGAGTGGGAAGGGATGAGAACTCTGTCGGGTTTCACCTGCATTTCCTGTCCTGCTGACAATGGTTTTACCAGACAGGAAGTGGGGGAAAATCTGCAGCAGAAACACAGAGAGAAATACAAATGTGACAGGGGTTCGAGCCTTCTCCTATTCTACCAAATGCAAGCATTGTGAGACTTACCATCACTTTCTGTCAGGTAAAACATTGTCAGCAGTACAAAAGTGAGGATACAATAAATTGCCCCAACGGAGCCCCAGATAGCAGTAGGCGAGACGTAGGCTCCTAGATGAGGGTGAAGTCATGATCCTACCAACAATATCCTGGGAATGCTAAGGATCCCAAATCTCACAAAAAGACGCTCCTGCACTGTGCTGGTACGTCTACTCACACAATTGGAGATGTGAATAGTTGTCTCTTTAGTATCCATAGAAGTAGAAATAGGCAGGACTGTGCATTGTTGGGCGTAGGGTAAGGGGTTTACCTCCTGACTAGACATAAGGGAACTTATAGCTGCCTTTGGTGGTAAAAATAGAGAACAGCAATGCTGTTACCCCTTAGAAATCTCAACTTACCTCCTGCTTCAGGGGCCTGCCGATGCCAATGGTGCTTCTAGAGGTCACTTTGGTCACCATCAACCCTGACGCCTGACAACCAGCAGAGACGGCCTGCCCTCTTTAATGACAATGGGGGAAATATGACTTTGTTTGGTGCACAATTTGCTAGGCTTACGAACAAAAAGAAAGCCAGCCAGGGCTCTCCTATCAGCAAGGAGCACAAGTTTTTATAACTGAGGTGCTATAGGTCTCCCCCAGCAGCTGGTGTCTCAAACCTCTACATAGAGACCACTGCTTCCACACAGAGGGTCGTTCTCTAAAGCTTGCTGGCAGGGGACAGGCTTTTCTACTCAAGTTGTGGTTACTTTCCAAAGTACAAAAACTCTAAGACTTTGTAGACCTTTTGTTTAATTTCAAGGGGTATCCACATATTTTTGGATATATATTATATGTGATGGTCATATAGTAACTCCCGGCATATAGTAATTTATGGCCATATATTAAATTTGTATATATACTGTATATTCTGACTATTACCCATTGTTCTCTGTAGATGAAGCAAACATAAGACCATTAACATTTCCCATGGGCAATGAATCATACATTAACTGTTCCTTTTTCCTTGTTCGAAAAGGATCTTCTCCGTAAGGAACTATCTACAAACCAATGTTTGTACACCTTTTGTTTTAATGCACTTGGAATGGATAAAGCACAATAATTTCAAGGGGTATCCACATATTTGTGGGCATATATCATATGTGATGGTCATATAGTAACTCCTGGCATATAGTAATTTATGGCCATATATGAAATTTGTATATATACTGTATATTCTGACTACCACCCATTGTTCTCTGTAGATGAAGCAAACATGAGGCCGTGAACATTTCCCATGGGCAATGAATCATACATTAACTGTTCCTTTTTCCTTGTTTGAAAAGGATATTCTTCGTAAGGAACTATCTACAAACCAATGTTCAGATTTCCTTATTATCTTATATAAATACTGAAAAAAAAACAAATGTTTGCCTGAGACGTGGTCTCTATCTTGTTTGATTATATACTATACCTTTCAAACATCGGTTTCTCTTCAGGCTTCAAATATGACACATGAAGGTCCAAGGCTCTCATGTCCCTTAAACAGTCACAGGGTAAGTTAGGAGGCTTTTTGCAGTAGATGACCTCTTCATAGAGTTTGTCTTTATACTCACAAAGCTCTTCAACTGGATTCATTTGGAAGCCACAGAGAGAGAAGGCCTCTTTGCCTAGGTAGACATATCTCCCCTGATAGCCGAGAACCCCCAAACTTGCATGTCTGGCCCTCCAGAGGGCCATGACCCCTTCACTAGGGTGCCAAAACAAAATGGAGACTTTGACTTGGCCTGCCCAGTGTAAAGGAAAGTGGACATGGTAAGACCCATTGTTCAAGTGTTCCACCTTTCCCGATACAGAAGCTCTAAGGTCTGGAGAAAAGAGCCTAGGTCTCATAAAATCTCCTCCATAGGTCTTCCTGTTGTTCAAATAATCATACATATCCACTTGCACGACTAAGTCTTCCCCAACGCAGTATCGTTCCCGGGGATTTGCCAAAAACACTTTGCTGTGTTTGACACTTGTGGTTTTGTCCAAATGAGTGAATGTCACATTGGGGATAAGGCTTTGGATTTTGGCAAATACGGCATCAATTTGAACTTGCAGTTGACTTGTTTTTAGGGTAGGCTCTGAGACTCTCTCCTCCTGGTCCAGAACAATATATTGCTTGGTATGCTCCAAACTATTTTCAACGATAACTCGGAAAGATTGCTGTAATGGAAATATTAAAAAAATAGTTACGTTTTTTCCCACCAATGTTTAAAGAGTGTAATATTTGAAATGGGTGTAGTTGGTGCTCCTTGTGAATAAATGGCACTTTAAGATGTTCTCCACTAGAAGAAAAAAAACTGACTCAGCTTTACAGGTCTAAAGGGCCACTCACTACACAGATAGCTGTCTAGTTAAAACTTTTTGTCACATTTTTTCTAGTTGGATGTATGGTACTTGCCTTGCCTTACGACTGATGAACCTGCCAATGTAATTCATGCATGTAGAAGTCACATTGGTCATCGAGGACCCTGCTGCCTGATGGCCACTTTAGACAGACTGCCCTCTTTGATGACCTCTTTGATCTACTCAAAACATACATTTTTGCCATGTCTTTATTGTTTTTTTGTTGTTCAGATTTCAAACACAGGTCTGCTTGTAAGGTTAGGGTCTGATAACACACAGGTGTTGTGCACTTCACCTTTAGCACTCACCATTCTCGGGTGCTTAATGTGCGTCGCAAGTATTTGGGTGCCCCAGGACTTAAGCTCTATAATTGGAAGCACCACATGTTCAGACCTCATCAGGAGGCCGTTTCTCCCACTTAAGGTAAGCTAAAAATTCGAGTAATGAGGGTGGGTAGCCAAGGTCCTTGAAAGGGGTAACAAGAATCGAGTGATAAAGCAAATGGGTTGAGCAGGGCGTAGTCATCAACAAAGCCAAGGTTAGGGCAGGAGCTATTTTATTGAGCTCAAGTCAAATAGGTGAAACCCACGGAGTCTAGCAGGTCCGGGATAACAGGCGGGGGCAGATAACAGGGGCAAGAACAAGAAAAGACAGGAGCCAGGGGTGAAAACAAACTAGGATAGTACAGGTATTGGAACCAGGCTATGAGTGGGGAGTTAGGAGCTCTCCAGGGACTAAATAACAAAAGCACGGACTGAGACTGAGACCAGGGTACAAGACACAAGATATCAGGATCATACCCTAGCTTAACGCTATAATGGGCAACTGGAGCATGGATAGTGGTGTCTTTTTAAAGTGTGTAGAGAAATTAGGAGTTATGCTGTGCTTTTACACAGTTATATAAATATGACGCAATCCATAGTCATAGTTAATATTCACAATTATGTGCTCAGAGAATCATATAGTTTATTTTCCTTAAAGTGACATTAAAGTCAAAGATTCTTTTCCCTCCCCCCAATGTTAATAAAAGCAGTTACCTTAAATGATGTCTCTTAATCCAATCTTCTTCTTCTTTCCTGTCCTTTTCAGCTGTCCCTCCAGCGCTGCTGCGGGTCTCCGATCCAGCGCTGACTCCTCTGTCCTTGCTGGCACTTCCTGTCCCACGGTGTCTGCATGTGGGTGCATACGTCCATATACTTACCTTGTGTCTCTCCTTGTCTCCCGGCCGAAAATGTGAACTGCGCACACGCCCGCCCCTAGATGCTTTGCGGCCGCCCGAGAATTTTCACATTTCCGGACGGGAGCGCACAGGGAAGACACAGGTACGTTTTAAACCTCTTTTAAGGCATTTTTTTAAACACTTTTTGCATATATCTACTGCTTGCTAGCTTGTTTACCTTTTTGAATTTGGCGCAGCTGTGCATGGCTCTGCCGCCACACAGCCACGTCATCCATCTGTGAATGAAATAACTACAAGTGTCCATGAATCTTGTAGCACTCCTTACCGGAAATCCCAATGAGTCTACTTTGAGCCTGATGAAGGGGACCCTGTGTGGCCCCGAAAGCGCTTGACAATCTGAGTGACATCTTTCAATAAATGGATTTGCACTGACTTGGACTTTGTCATGCTGGTGACATCCTTGTTTAAAATGGAATAGCTACAAGTCCCATCAGCAACAATGGCAGAGGGACCTGTAGTTGTAGGGGCAGCACTTGAAGTCCATTGACACTTCCTCCCATCCGTTTTACTACAGGCCCATACCTCGCTACAGACATGGACGGACGTGAGGAACAGTGTGCAGGAGCCAGAGCTTTGCACCCGCAATATATTGATTGCAGTTGCAATGCATTACCGGCTCCTATGCATATAATCAATGCACATTTTTTCTTTATATGAAGTGTGCATTTATTAAAATTTTTTTGCAAAAGGTGCAATTTCCCTTTAAGAAAGGGGATTTTTTACCTAATCCATAGATTTAATTATTATCTGCATAAAAATACAATATTGTCCATATGTGTTAGTGAGCTGGCCAGGAGTGACTTTCCATTGGCTATGTTTGATTTACCTGCATTGCTATCCGGTGCCAGATGAAGCCAAGGGAGAAAAGAAGGACGAGCAGCAATACAATTCGCGGTATGTACATTCCCTTGGCCATTCTGTCATGCGAAGAGGCAACCTGATAAAGGAATGGACATTTGTAGGTTTATTTAAAAGGACGGTGAGCTGAAATAAAAGGTTACTTATGTAAAAAATAAACAAAATACAATACCAGAGAGATAATTGTCTCCTTTATCCCGGTTTTAGCTGTCTTTAAACGTTTAGAAGGCATTCAGCAATTAAAACAGAACTCCGGGCAAAACTCTTCTTAACCCTTGCAGTGGGGCTACCCCCGCCCTACACAAGTGCTCATTTTTGCCTAGGGACTAAAATAAAAAAAGTTATACTCAACCTATCCTGGGAGCCCGTGTTCTATCGAAAGTTCCAACTCCTTGAGTTCTCCAACCATCTGACTTCCGGTTTAGGTGTACGTTTAATAAACTGTGAAAGAGTGTGATAAGAAGTGAGAATGCTTTTCTCAACTTAGCAAAGTGAAAAGTCTAGAAAAAGGTTGTTTAATAACCTTTAATCAACATATTAAGAATATATCAAGAATATTTATGAATTAAATAATTAACCACCTGCTGTCCAGCCGTGGTAATTAAAGAGCCGGACAGCGGACGGAATGCGGGTGGGCGTTTTTAAACGTCCTAACCTGCCAAGCTCGCGCCAGCCGCTAGGCGGCGCGCACAAACGGGAAATTGGCTTTGAATGTAAACAGCCAGCGATGGCTGTTTACATACAAGCGTTCAGACGTCTGTAGAGACGTCCAATCGCTTGTAATATGCGCTGTGCCCGGACAACTACAGTGTAAACAAGCTGCGGTGCGAAGTGGAAGGTTGCGATTTTTTCGCTTCGCCTGCAGTGTGTCACAGCCTTGAGAGGGAAAAGGAGGGAAGTCTGTCTTAATGCCACCCTTCCCTCATGAGAGTGACAGTGGCAGTTTTAAGTCCCCTCACTGTATCTGTGTAGTGTGAGGTAAAGTTCAGTAAGGTCATGTGACCTTAGGGCTTGTTGTTGAAGGCTCACTCTCCCTCAGAAACAGGCCCACCAAATTAAGCTTGAAGGATGTCTGGGGAGTATGTTTTTGAGGCAGATGCAGTGAACATTGCACTCCACACATAACAGTCTGTAACACCATTTCGCCACCATGGTCCGCCGTTTATGATGCATTAATACCTGCTGCTAGTGTGTTTGCACACACACAGTGCTGATGCACCTATCTCGGGACAGCAGGCTTTTTTCAGGGACGCCAAGCATTCTAATTTCCCCACTTACATTGCCCACTTACATTGCTTGGCTCCATCAGAGTGCCCCTTTAGAATGTTTAACCCCATCACTGCCTCGCATTGTGGCCGCCTCTGGTAGTTTGATTCATGTTTATGTACTAGTACATGCTGAACAAATCGGAACATGTAAATCCTGCTTTTTAGCAATTTTCATCATTTTAACAAAGAAATAACTGTTGCACTTTGCTGTAGAGGTGCTTTTTAATATTGTTATTGGGTGGTTTGGCAGAGTAAACTATGATCCTGTCAGGAGGAGTGTAGATTATCACAAAGGATGTCATTGTGCAGCTCAGAATACATTCCCCACATTGCTTTCTCTACTGATCACCGTGACAACTCATCTCAGCCTTTCACAGCTGTTTCGTGTGATAAGTTTTCTTTTCGCAGGTTATTAAACATCTTCTGTGCAGCCGAGAAAAAGAAAGAGATCTGCTGAGTAAAGTTAAGTCGTGATAAAGCTAGTTTTATCACGGTTTACTAAACGTACACCTTAGTTAGAAGTAAGAAGTTTGGCCGAGAAGGCTCTATCGGACGTGCCCCACCCGCGGCATTTCCCTATACAGCAATAAAGTATTAAAATGAAGTACCGTAGGTTTACAGTATTCCAGCACGTTATTAATCTCACTTGCCCAACTCAATATGGCCATCGCTTGCGGCCATATTGAGTGGGTCAACTCAGATTAATAACGTGCTGGATTGCTGTAAACCTAGTTAATTTTAATACTTTATTGCTGTGTACTATCTGTATAGAGAAATGCTGCGGGTGGCCGGATAATTTAGGGGCTACTGAAGCGCCAGTTCCAGGCCCACCACTGAAAAAAGGGCCTGGGTGGCCCGGATCACCTCAGTGTGCCTGGTGTAACACAAACAGGCAGAGGCGCCGGCGGCTCTCTAATAAGTGGCGGCTCTCTAATAAGGTGGCCACCTTATTAGAGAGCCGCCTCTGCTGCTTCCCGTCTGACCGACCAACATCACGAGGCCCATGATGATCTTAATCCGGCCCTGACCCCATGCCACATCCCCAGTTATGTAGATCTATAAGGGTTTGTATGTCAAAAAATGTTGGTTCAACCCAGAGTTGCCTTCTTCTCACCATTACTTTTCCTTTATACTGATTTTTTTGGGTTTTTTAAATAGCAAACAAGATAATTAGGAGATCAGACGAACGTTTTAGTGCAGAATAACACTTTTGGTAGTTAGAAAGTACCCCGTCATAAATATCTAGCATGTAGAAAAGTGAAGATCACCAGCACTCCCAGAATAACGTTCAATCTTAGTGATTTATTCAAGAAAAACGTTGTATTAATCAGCCTTATAAAACATTTCGGGGGCCACGCAGGGTCCCTTTCTTAAAGTAAAACATATTTATACCCCAGAACATCATGAAATGACACAGGCACCTCCCCATGACGTCACAGTGACATCAGAACCCGCCAGAATTACAATACAAAAAAAAACATGATTACAGTAAGTATGTCAATCATGAATTCAGACATAAATAATGTGTTCCCCTTTAAATAAATAAAGTCCATACGTGGTGAACCTTACCTCCCAGGTGATACAAGAGAAGCGGCGGCAAGTAAAGGAGGAAGAAGACAAATAAAAAGCTGGTGAAACACTCCAGATAGCATAGTCAGTGGTCGCGTCTTAGGTATCCATGGCAACCCAGTGTGGCACAGAGCACGGCATAGAATAGCCTAATCCCCACCCGGGGATCAAACTGCGCATGTGCATTCCCTGCAGGGGCGGATCCAGAGTCTATTCTCGGGAGGGGCACTGCCAGAAAATTAAGTTTTGCTTACACAACGGTTAATATTTTATTTAAGACGGTTTCCCGGCCAACCACAATTAAGCCGGCCAAACAACATGCAGCCGGCTTCCCGGGCAATCAGGAAGCCGGTTGGCATGTCATTACCCGCTGCCGGCTTCCTGATTACCATGCTTCATGCCAGTGGAAGCACTGGTATTGGTATTCAGTATCGGTATTCAGTATCGGCGAGTACCAAAAGCAAAATATGTAGCGGTCAGCTGGGCTGTCAGAGTGTGTGAGATGTTCAGGCTGGACAATCGTGGCGAATGAAATAAAAGAAATATAAATCATGATATACAGAAGCAAAAGATGCCTAGAAACCAAAGTGCAAGTATGAAATGCAAAAGCAATGTTTGAACAAGTATGAAACACAAAACGAGTGTAAACACAAAATAACCATCCATAGGATCATATTATAAAACATGTATGACAGTATAGGCAGGGCCGGATTCCCCACAATGCCACCAAGGCAAGGCCTTGGGACGGCAGGGAGTAGAGGGGCAGCACTAGGGTTGCCAACGGTCCGGTTTTTGAGTCTTGTGTCTAGCCAGAGGGCACCCGGGCACAAGACACTCAGAGCCGACACCGGCACTTTACATTTTCTGACAGATGCGGCTGCCGAGGTCCCCAGCAAGCGCAATCTTGGGCAGCCAAGTCTGCCTGAAACCGGATCTTCCTCTGAGCTGTGGGCACCTGTACGCAGGCACAGGCTGCCCGCACATGGGCTTTTCCTCCACCAGCTTCCTGACACCGATCTGGACGCCTCCAAAAAAAACAACTGTTGATGCATTTCTGCCTGACTCAGCTTTAGTCATAGCTGGTTGCGAACCAACACCAAACCCACTAAAATAACACGCCACATGGGGCGGGGAGAAACACTTAGGAGCACCTGAATCAAACAAACAATCCATGTGATCACAATAAAACAATATAAAATAATTGAACCCAAACATTATGCTGTAGCACCCATAATAACATCAAAGTATTATAGGACAATCACAAACTATTGAAAATATAAACCAAAGGTTGAGACCCTGTAGAATCTGAGTTTTTAAATAAAACACCAACAAGGCCTCACATTGCAACAGTTTATTTCCTCCATGCATGTTTCCAAAATGACAAAACACATTGGAAACTAATTAGAGTTTTGAAATAATTATGGATAAATACTACGGAGTAGTGCTTCCCAATCCTAGCTCGGAGGTGTTGTATAATGTACTCAACAACTAAATCACATTGGAAACTGGGCATAATTATGGATATATACTACCGGAGTAGTGCTTCCTGAAAAAGAAATCCGCCACGATGTTCATATTAAGTACAAGAACAACCATTTTGTATGAAGAGACTGTATGTCCAGTCCATTGATTTCTAGTGAAGACTGAACTTTCAAGCAAGAGTGCTCTCACTCCTCCTTTCCTAGAAATTTACAGGGTTGTTCACAAAAGGGTGAAGAGTTTGGAGAAGGCCGCAGAAGTGAACAATCATGGACAACATAGCTAAACTTGATGCGCCCTAATAACGTTAGAAATGATACTTTGGACCAAATTCTGTGTTTTGTCTCATACTGTTCTCTGCAATATTGCATATTGATAAAGATCAGAGTCTCAACCAGAAATAGCCATAACAGTCTTTGGCAAGCCAGCCAGGAGTGAACTGAGTCTCCAGAAGGAACCGCGCCATGATCGGGACATCGGGAATGCAGACCCTTACATGCCGGCAAGGTAAGCGGTTCTTAAGCTTGTCTAAATCTCTGGCTTTCCTTTGTGCCCTAGGTGCCCTTTGTGCCCTTGTGCTCTGTCGGTTCTCAAGGAAACCAGACCCACTTCCCACGTCCTTTCTGATTGGGTAACATGTGTGTGTGTGAATGTGTTTGTGTCCCCCTTCTCGGGCTGGACTGAGTGTGAACAGGGATAGACCTCTGCAGTTTTCTAAGCTGACCCTTCGGGGCTGTCTATG